AACAAGAATGAGAGTGGGTCCCTCCCGCCAGCGGAGGACCTCCTCCTCATCCCAAAGACCATGGGAGGCGGGACGGGTCGATGACGGTGTCGACTGGAGGACAAGAAAATCTAATCACCTAAAATCTTTGTGTTTAGGGCTTTAGTCTAGTCAAGGTTTGGATATTTCAATGTGGTAATACAGTAGTAGTAAGTACTCCACCCGTTCACAAATATAGGATGTTTTAAATATTTTAATATGGACTACATATAAACTTAGATGAGTGAACAAGCACATTTAAATATGTCTATATACATCCAAATTAGAAAAAAAAAGTTAGAACCTCTTATAATAGTAAACGGAAGGAGTAGTAAACAAGTTGTTTCACGGGGGTTTAGCTCCACATGGTTGGTATGGTCTACATTTTAGTCGATGAATGTCTTGTAGATCCATGAAACTCACGATCTACTGCTCTTGGAGTTGAAACAGGGAATTAGAAGACGCTCGATCTTGTCGCTCATGAAAACATGCGAGATTCTCCGAACCACCAAGCTCTTTTTCTCTTCCTAGAAGGTGATCCATAGTTTTTTTTAATTTCCAAATTATTCATAATCAATTGTGACATGATAGAGAACACCATAGGTAACAATAACCATGTTTATGGACCATCTAACAATGCTATAAGCACTAAAGAGAACCGAAGGTGCGCCATCGTCAGTGGTCCTTCCTCGCCGAAATCGGACAAGTCTTGTTGTAGTAGATAGTCAGGAAATCGCCGTGCTATGACTCACTGGACCACTACATCAAAACAACAAACATCGCCGACGAAGAGAGTCGTAGATCGGAAGGATCAACCTTGTAAACGTACGACAAAGATGAGCGTAGATTGGATACAAACAGATCCACCGAAGACCAGCGCCGATTGAATTCGCTAGATCCAATGGAGACATATGTCCACACACCCTCCAACGCAAGACACACCATGGAGATGGTGCTCGAATGTGAGAGACATTATTCCTACCAAGAGACATTGTCATCATCATACATCCCCAACCAAGACACTGGACCAAAACAAGAATGAGAGTGGGTTGATGTTTCCCACCGGCAGGGGAGCGAGGTCCTCCGCACCTCCACAACCCAAAAGACCATTGGAGGCGGGAGGGTCAGACGGCGTAGTCAACGGGAGGAGGAGCAAATCTAATCACGTGGGAGTTTTTGTGTTTAGGGCTTAAATCTAGTCAAAGTGGTCCACGGTTCTTCTTTTGCGGAAAAGATCCTCATGCATTACAAAGAAGTACAAAGTGCCTCAAACATAATAAAATTGACATTGAGGTCTCTAGACCATTGTACGACCACTACCGTTAACAGAACAAGTCACAGATGCGTCAATGTCACTGCTTCCATATCGAAGCTGGCTTGGCCTTATTGATGGCAATCAGGAAGTCTTCGTGCATGTGCAAAACCCATCAACGTCGTTGAACCCTAAATAGATCTGAAACAACTCACATCAAATCTTGTTGTTGCGCACGTACTACAGAAAACCCTAACCTCCCAATTTCAAGAGATGACATGAATCTACGTCAGAGTTTCGTCGATTACGTGCAGATCGACAAACTCGAGAAGGATCGAAGCCCAGAAAATAAACACAAAGAAGAAGCGTCCTTATACGCTCACCGCACCTGCGGCACTAAAAAGAAAGACTCTAACTAGTTTAGCCGGAGCGAAGACACCGAGCCTGCCACCGGGTGTCGGAGCGAGTCCATGGGCTCGCCGATGAAGCTTGGACGGGAGATAAAGGTAATCCACACTTGATTCATGATGCTCACGTGAACAGAATCTCGGCAGCTTTGATATGCGAAACCAAATGTCTGCCAGTTCCTATCAATGCTTTAATTTCTACTATATATCAATGGTTGTAATAAAATTCTCTCCGAAATAAAAAGCTGCTAGTACCACCTCAGAAAGCAAGGTTTCTTGCGCGAAAGTATCCCTCGGCAACGCAGACATTCGGGCGCCAACCACAAATATTCTTTCCTCCCATTTCAGAAATCCATCCGGGGCGATAAGTTCGTTTCTCGGCATGCGGGGCCAGGCCCCACATGTCAGCCACACGAAGCACCCCAGACGACAGACGACCCCGGGGCCCACCCCAGGCCATGAGGTCAAAACAGACCGTCCATACACGCGCCCCATGGACCGATCCCGGCTCACGTCCCTCTGGCTCCACGGGCCGGCACGGTAAACCCGTCCCACCGGTCCATAGACCCCGTCCGTATAGACCTGCTGCGCCTGTACGGACAGCCCCCGCTGCTGCTGCCGTGTGCGTACAAATAGGCCAGCCTGGCCACGCGGGCGCGCTTTGCCACGCACCGCGCCTCCCCCCCTCGCCGCCGGTGCCCGCGCCGGCAGTACGGACACGCCACCCCTCGCGGCGCCGCGCGCTCACGGGTTTCGACGAGGAGGCGAGGACTAGTAGGAAGCACAGCCAGGACATAAGCGAGTGGGAGGGAGGGGCTTTGATCGCGCGAGTACCATTCAGGCGGCGGGGAGGAGGGAGGCGGCGCGGCACCGCCTTACCCGCTCGGCCTCGGGTGGGGTGGTTTCCTCTCGCGCGGCGCCGCGGACGAGATGGGCGCCGGCGGGAAGGCCGGGAAGGCGCGGCGGGCGGCGCGGGTGAGCCTCTGGGTGGCGCGCGCCAGCACCACCGTGCTGCTCTGGACCTGCGTCGTGGTGCTGCTCGCGGCGGCCTTCGGTGAGCACCTGGCGCCCAGCGTGCTCGGCCTGGGCGGGGTCTGGTCCGGCTGCCTCGCGCAGACGCTCGTCATCGTGCAGCGCCCGCTGCTGCTGCCGGCGGACCGCGAGAGGGCCGCCGCGGCCGCGCTGCCGCTGCCGCCCAAGCGTATGTCGCTCGTTTCCTGCTTCTTTTGCTCCCCTTCTCCCCCCCCTTCTCCGGTTAGGAATTAGGAATCATCTGCGAATCAGGCGGCTTCCCTTCCTTCTTTGCTCAGGAATATTCGGGCCTTCCATTAATGCTTTCCCCTTTCCATTTGTCCCCTTCCCTGCGAGAATCGTTGCGTTAGCGCCTCTTTTTTGGGTCGATCAGCTCATGTCCGATCAATTTGGTCCAAGGATTCCGCATTCGCCGGGAACACTTCACTTCCATGGCTCGATTAACCATTGCGTGTCTCCTGTGCGGTTGACTCCTACTGATTCTAACCCTGTTACAGCCTCTACCGCCATTTGATCTTATCGGTTCTGTGTTCAGGAATCTACAAGAACAATGGCTATCTGATGGTGTCCTGCAATGGCGGTCTCAACCAGATGCGAGCTGCTGTAAGTACAGCTCGTGACAATCTCAATGCATCTAATTTACTGCGCTGTCCATATTTGTGAGCCATTGCTGCTGTTCAAATACTGAAACTGAGCCATGAAAGTTCCACTGGTAAATCAGATATGTGATATGGTGACGGTTGCAAGATACTTGAATGTCACACTCATCGTGCCGGAGTTGGATAAAACTTCATTTTGGGCTGATCCTAGGTCAGCATTTCTCTCTGCAGTCACTGCAGTTCTTAACAACTCATATAATGGGCTGCCTTTGTCTTATCCTTTGCTGTTGCTTTGCCTACAGTGAGTTCCGAGATATATTTGATGTGGACTACTTCATAGCATCATTGAGAGATGAGGTCCGGATACTGAAAGAGCTGCCTCCACGGCTGAAAAAGAGAGTTGAACAGGGGTATCTTCGCTCCATGCCACCCGTCAGCTGGTCTGATATATCCTATTACCATAATCAGGTTTGTTTGCATCTCTCCGTTTCTCGTGATGTATCCGAATCATCTGCATACCCAGATAGTGATTCTAAGTAGTTGTTTTTGGGAAAACAGATTTTACCAATGTTAAAGAAGTACAAAGTTCTCCATCTGAATAAAACAGATGCTCGGCTTGCAAATAATGGCCTACCCATGGAGATTCAGAAACTGAGGTGCCGTGTCAATTTTGATGCATTGAGATTTACCCCTGAAATAGAAGAGCTGGGCAGGCGTGTGGTTCAAATTCTTCGTCAGAATGGACCCTTTGTGGTTCTCCACTTGCGGTATGAGATGGACATGCTTGCCTTCTCCGGGTGTACACATGGTTGCAGCAACGAGGAGGCCGAGGAGCTCACAAGAATGAGGTATTGCATCTCATCCAAATTTTCTCAAGATGTTTTAGACCTTTAGTTGACAAATGAATTGTGCCTTGAACTTGGAAGATACGCTTACCCATGGTGGAAAGAGAAAGTGATCGACTCCAAGGTGAAGAGGAAAGACGGGCTCTGTCCATTAACACCGGAGGAGATTGCGATGGTACTAAAGGCACTCGACATTGATCGCCATTATCAAATATATATTGCTGCTGGTGAAATATATGGTGGGCAAAGAAGAATGGCTGCACTGACCTCAGCTTATCCCAATGTGGTTAGTTCAACATCTTCAACACAGCACTGCATGCTTATCATGTCTTTTATCATGTGAGTATCTGAAGTTTATTTGTTATTGATGATGATCAATCAGGTAAGAAAGGAGACGTTACTGCCTTCAGGACTCAGGTTTTTCCAGAACCATTCTTCCCAGATGGCAGCATTGGATTATATGGTGTCCTTGGAGAGTGATGTTTTCATCCCCACTTATGATGGTAACATGGCAAAAGTTGTTGAAGGCCATCGCAGGTACTTTTGTCAAATTCCAGCTTTTCCCTTGTTATGTGACACTGTATCATGTTATACTTGTGACTAGACATAGAAGTTTGTCCCTTGGATTAAATATCAAGAAAAAAACTATTACCTCCTCGCATAAAAGAAAGAAAGAAAGAAAGGAAAGAAACACCTAATTACCTGCCCCATGCCATGCTGCATGATCGCAATGTTCGCAACCATTCTTATAGGAGCAGCAGGATTTTCTGAAACCCCAAATTTATAATGTTTCATTTCAATTGCGTGATAATAGTGAAATGCCTGAAACATGAGTTATTGTGTTGTGTATACAGTTTTTTCATGATTGCATCCTCAGTAAAATTAATGTTTACAAGCTGAAACTTTGGGATGTCACAATCTTGTTTCAGAAAAAAAAAGCCTTTGCCCCATTTTCATTCAACTGTTATTTTGTCCCCTGCCCACAGATACTTGGGGTTCAAGAAGACGGTGCTACTAGACCGGAAACTTATAGTTGAGCTGGTCGATGAGTACAAAAACGGCACATTGAGCTGGGCCGATTTCTCCTCCTCTGTGAAGGCATCACACACGAGCCGCATGGGCGCGCCATCCAGGAGGCAGGTGATTCCGGACAAACCCAAGGAAGAGGACTACTTCTACGCGAATCCTCACGAGTGCTTGCACCAACCGGATGAGCTATCAGCTTTATGATACCCCCGGATATATACACATTCTTTCCAGAGCCGTGGGCCGGCTTGGATTACATTTCTTGAGTAGGCATAATTGGAGATCTAGCTGCAATTGCATTTGATGGGGACAGGCACCTGAGAGAGATAAATGGTGCCATTTGTTAGGTGATAATATACACAGATTGGCATGATTTGCCAGTTCTTTTGTTGTTGTCGGAAAAATAAGCAGCATGTGATTTTGTGTTGTACATATGATAGGAGTTAGAAGAAAATTACACCCACGAGTAGAGTTTTTTCTGTTTCTGAATTGTGCTTGCATGTGATGTGATGCATATACATACATTGTGACGGTGCTTGTCAGAAGTTCTTCCATTGTAATACACAGTTTGGATGATTTGGTTGAGCTGATGATATTGGTGTTTAGTTCTGGGCATGATGTTTGTTACTGAATGCAATGAAAAGTTCTTCCCCCGGTTTCTGCCCAGGCATGTTGACTTAGAACGCGAGTGGTCAAAGGCTTGAAACTTGAACAGCTATCATACACATAACTGATTAGATTTTATTTTTCTTTTCAGTAGGAAATGATACATTCTCGCTAGGAATTATTGTTAATTGATACTACTTGCTGAAGAAAAACAATGGGCGGACGTAGGTATTCGAGACCGTGTTAATTGAAGTCTAAAATGACAGGTCACTTTTGGACTTGTTGATCCATGCTGATTTGTTTCAGTATGATTTTGTTCTCAAGCTGATAGAGGCTGCCGTTGTTGGAGCACCTCGTTCCGCAATGCTCAAGCGCAGGGCTCCACTCGCCTAGGTGCAGGCAGCGTCGCGTTGTGAGGAAGGAACGATCCAGCCCGTATTCAGTGCAGCGCCGATGCCAAAGCTAGCTGCGTCGGAGGCCGAGCAATTCGTCCGGCTGCGAGTAAGGCTGGCATCGGGATCGGCTTCAGGTCAGCTCAGATGAGCCTCGCCTCGCTCTCCGAGTCACCACCGCGCCCGCGTGAGTGCTCCCCGTCCCCGCCGGGGTCGCCGCCGTAACATAAAACTTCCTCCGCCTTTTATTAATTTGTTACTATATGCTCGGCACGCGAGGCAAGGGTGGTGGCCATCAGGCAAAGTGCACGTCGGTGCGGTGCGGCGCCCACCCACCACCGTCGCACCGCGAATCCGCACGATCGCGACGGCACCGCAGGGCCGCGCGTTGCCGGATTTCAGCCGCTCCGACTTTCACTCCGTCGCAGGTCGCGTCCATTTCGACATGCCTTTTTCTCTTCGGGGTTTTCCTTCCCAGCACATGTCAAAGGCCGCCAGGTCAAGTCCACTGCTCCACTTGCCCCGTGCCGTCGACCAGCGCGCGCTGAGTGACAGCGTCTTGGAAGGGACAAAGACTGACGCGCACTAATTTTGACGTGCAATACAATGGACCGCGCTTGCATCTTGTCGCGAGCTTGGACTCAGACGCCCTCGCTTCAAAAACCTTTTCTTGTTTAGTTCCAAAAAGAGTGAGCCGCAAAGTCAGGGCCAGACTTCGAATTAGTAAGTGCTGGGTAAACGAGGTTCCCGCATCACTGCTGCATCGCAAGCGTGGGGGTTCCGTCACTAGCAAAGTCACGCGATCGGGTCTCGGAACCTGCTTCTCCCCGTGTCCCCCCTCGCCGCCGCACGACGGTCGGGTACCGGCGCCACAGCCTGCCGGCTACCAGAACCACCGACGATCGAGGCGGCGTGGGCTTCCATCCAATTCATTAACACAATTCAACACAGATTTGTGTCAAAAAATAATAACTCAACACAGATAATAGCAAAACAGACATGAGAGCTACGGACACGCTAACAAGCTGACATGCTCCAGGGTGCAACTTAACTAACAGATAAAGAGTTGGTCGAGTTATCTTTACAGGTTACACGGGGGAGAAACTTCGCATACGAATGGAAGCCTGTATATACTAGTACTACAAGAGCAGCTTCACAATCTGCAATGGAAGCTTCTTTGTTTTGTTCTGCTTTTACTTCAACAATAAATAAAGGGCAGCGACGCGAAGATTAAATGAAAGAATGCACCAAAGTCTTGCCCGTCCCGGTGCCGTCACAGAAGCAACATAATGTACATGCAATCTCAGGGTCTCCGCTGGCAATGCCACGGAGGAAAGAATGATCAATCCTGTCTTGGGTGGAGAAATGTGGCTGAGGGTCGCCGCCGTCAGGTGTTGCCCGGCTTGTACCGCTTCGTTGCATGCGGAAGCTCTTCGGTGGCGTTGCCCAGCATCGCCTGCTGATGGCCCATCATGTTGTTCGTCGGGCCTAGGTCGGTGTGCTCCTACATGGATGTAAACATCGCGTGTCAAACTTTCAAATACGCAGGGATGAATAACCTACACAAGGGGACGTTAAGGTGCATTTACAAGAACTGACTCTGAGCTATTTAAAGTGTGCAAATGCTACAATAGAAACGATAGGAATTGTATGATTTTTTTGCAGAGGTATCTTCAGAATAGGTATATGGGGAATATGAAGTATGATGAGTGACGCACCTTGAAACTGGAGGATTGTCCAGCAGTAGGTCTTTTGACAGCCCGCTTGCCCAGGTTGATCTGGACAGATATGTTGGCTTGGGACAAATCTATACCCGAGCTTTGAAGAGCATGAGTCAACGTATTAAGTAGCCTGTTGTGAGTTAAATAAAAACCTAAATGTGTCAGTGTACTTTGTTTGGTAAAGGCGAAAAGTGCTTTTCACGATATGCTCTATAAAAGATCAATCTAAAATTCTAAACTCTAGAATTGCCAGGAGACGCTAGTTTAATAACAACAATCAAAAGCGGATGTTAAATGTTTCCAAAAATAAAATGCAACTATTATAACTATTAACATGCAGGATTCTGATATCTGATACTCAAGTAGCGACGTACAATACTAAAGATAGTGGTATTCTTTGCAACATACTCTTGGGAATATTGGCTTGACACGCTGATTGTTCCTTCATCAATCATCAATTGTTGATTATTTAACACGCCACTGTTCACCGCGCAATCATCCACACCAGATGGATCTGCCCATTGTGGTTGAGACTGGGGCAAAACATTATCTGCATAAAAAAGGATATATTCATGAATAAACAATAGTACTTCCAAAATGGGAACAGAAGCAAAGGTGGGTTGTCAAACATACTCATAATATTTGTTGGAGTGTCTGCCGATCTACAGGACACACTAGCCATGTGGTCGGTTTCTGCCTGATCCGGTGCCCCTGAGATAGCTGCAGATGCTACCGCGGTGTGGTTATCATCAAGCTTGCCTGTGATATTGAATCCAGGGGAGGCCCCATTTCTGATGAATTGTGAAGGGTCAGGTGAGGCATCTTCTGCGATTTGCCCTTTACTCTGGACCACAAGGATAATAGTATGTGTAAGACGCTGACCAGAAAGTTCTGAAGATTTCAGTCGGAGATGACATGCAATTACAGGAAACAAAATTTACCTGTGCATTTTTCCAAGATGATCGAAAATACATGTTTGACTACAAAATATAGACCAGAGTTAAGATACAGCCGTCCAAGAATGGATTGTTAATCGCATATTGCAGATTTGGAAAAAAAAATTACCCATGGGAGCAACTTTGCATTTTCTTGGTTCCATTCTGGAAATGAAGCCTCGTACTTCTGTGCTTTCTCTTGCAAAAATCGTATATATTCAATAACCTGAATAAAAATAGCATCAAGAGAGAACCAAATTAATCAACCAGGAGACAAACTTGTTTTCTTTCGAGGGCACCAGGAGACAAACTTGCTGCTGGGAGCCTTACCTCTAAGAGAAATGTTGCCTTGTCTCTCTTTTGATCAGTGTGTGGTAAAAGGTCCCTAAGTATCTGAAACCTGTTGAAATAATGTCGACAGAAGAACAGTTATGTTATGTACACTGAGCCCAGTGTTAGTCTGCCGCTCACAAACGGTCTTGAGAATAATTTCAGATAAGCTCCTTCATAATAAGTACTCCATACATTATATCTACAACTTTTTTTTAGGATGCATATATCTGTGATTTGCCAAAATACAAATTTGTCTAATTTTGTATGGACAACCATTAATATCTTAAGAGATTTAATCTTGTTGTTCAATCATGAACTAAATTTGACAATTTACATACCTAGTGTTTATACAATCATACTCCCTCCGTTTGTTTTTATAAGACGTTTCAGACAGCTTGCTTTGTACTGTTTTGAACAGTGTCTGAATGTCTAAAACGTCTAATAAAAATGAACAGAGGTAGTACAATCTACTTAAGATCTCGCACACAATCACACAATCTACTCTAGAACATGTTCTAAATTACCAAAATCTTTGACTAACTAAAATTTCTCCAACACAATTGAGGTCACAACTTAGATATCTAATTACCATGGAACAATGCCAATACAATACCGATGGATTGTTTATCTTCTGAACAAACTACAGGAGTTCAGGAATCCTCACCTGTCATTGATCTTGCTACGGCGGCGCTGCTCAGTTGCAGAATGCTTTGACTTTGGTGTGTTTGGCAGCTGATCCGTGCCGCTGCCACTGCAGCTCCCGCCCTTCGCATCCACCCTCACAGCTAACTCTGCTACATAAAAAGCATTCATTAGTAAAAAAAACTGGAGGTTTGCAAAAATCATCAACCCTGTTTTGTGCGCTGAATGCAGCAGATCTCGTGTAACCTGGTATGTTTTGTTTATTTTGATGGTCACAGTGCTCGCTACGAATTGTATCGTAATTGCATTGTATGGACACGATATGCATGACAAAATTAATGCTGGCTGCCAAGATACTATGTGAAAGTATTACAGGATATGAGGGGGTTTTCCTAACTACAAAAAGGAACTCAACAGCTGGCATGCCCCATTTCATGGCCAGTTGGACTTTGAGAAAGAAGGCAGAGTAAGGCGAAAATCTCGGCGGCCCTTGGATGCGAGTGATCCCAGGCATGGAAGTTGTGCATCTTTCCATCGACCTCGATGGAGCTGCATCCGGTTGCTTTGGTGACACCCCTCTCTCTCATGGTGACCCGTACACCAGCAACATGGCTCCACATCCCTGCAGACGCATACATGTTTGCCAGCTGCACATAATGCCCTGCGTTGGACTGCTCCAACTCAAAGATGTGCTGAGCTGCCCTCTCAGCCATGGCCATGTTTGAGTGCTCGTGCATCTTGCAACCGTGAAGTAAGGCACCCCACACACTCATCTCTGGCTTGATGGGCATGTCAAGTATAAATCGATATGCTCTGTCAAGCTGACCAGCACGAGCAAGCAGGTCCACCACACAAGCATAGTGCTGGTGCCGAGGCTCGATCTTGTGGTCAGGTTTCATGGAATGAAAATAGAACCACCCTTTCTCCACAGCGCCTGCATGGTTGCACGCTGACAAAAGCCCCAAGAAAGTAACATCATTCGGTTTCACCCCTGCGAGCTTCATGTCCTCAAACAGGCCAATGGCCTCAGCAAGATGGCCGTGCACCCCATAACCTGAGATCAATGCACTCCAGACTACCACATCCCGCTCATGCGCACACATCTGTTCAAAGACTCTGCGCGCATGGGCAATGCTCCCTGACTTGGCGTACATGTCAATCAACGCTGTGTTCACAAGAACATCCTCCTTGCACTCACTGCGGCGTACATAATCCTCCATCCATACTGCAAGCTCAGTGGAGCCGAGCTGCGCGCAGGCCATGATCACCGACCGCAATGTGACAGAATCTGGGCTCATGCTCCTTGCAAACACCTGCATCTGCTTGAACAAATGCACTGCCTCACTGGCAAGCCCATTCTTGGAGTAACCCGATATCATGGCATTCCACAGGATCACATTTACCCGTGGGGGCGGGATCCTGTCGAAGAGTGCCCTTGCAGCCACAATGCAGCCAAACTTGGCATACATGGCCGTCAGTGTGGTCACAACATCTTGTTCGTCATCAAAGCCACCCTTGACTACCAAGGAATGAGCTGATTTGGCACCTGGCAAGTCATCGAGCTCCATGTACGCCTTGAGGACTGTGACGACCGGCACAAAATCAGGACGGACATCACAGCACATCATCGCTGCAAACAGCCGTAACGCCTGCAAGGGGCTGCCACTTTGCACGAGCCCGGAGATGAGAGAGGTCCAGGAGACAACGTCCCTGTCGCAGTCACGCATTCCTTCGAACACACGGCGAGCACGGCCGGCATCCCCGCAGGAAAAGTACATGGCGATGAGTGAATTGTGCAGGAATCGCGTGTCTCCATCAGTGAGATGTAGCGCGTGGGCATGGGCTGCGCGGCCAGGGACAGACTTGAGCACATCGCCAATGGCAGGGGCGGGCGGGAGGAAGGCCGGGTGGCGCACACGGAGAGCAAGGTAGTGGCGGAGTGCTAGGGAGGTCAGGCGGAGACGGAACGCGAGGCGGGAGGCGGCGTGGAGAAGGTGCGGGGGCGGGTGGGGGACGTGGTCGAGCAGGTGGTGGGCGAGGGGACGGAGGCACGGGGACGCACGGACGCGGCAGGCAGCGCGCAGCAGCAGGAGCGCAAGCGCCGGCGAGCCGCCGAGGAGGCGGCCGGAGACCAGGAGGTGAGCGTGGAGCTGGTGGACGTGCGACGGCCGCGCGCACCGCGCCTCCATGGCCGTCGCCGTCGGGTCGCGCCAGCTCCTCCCTTTCCACTCTACTCTCCCCTCTACACGAACACTGCCTCCGCTGTGAGTACAAAAATGAATGGGGCTGTCTAGCAAAAACGAAACAGAAGAAGGGAAAAAAACAGAAACAGAAACAATCGGGATGGAGAAGCCTGCACGCGCGCGAGCGCTTCCGAGAACGAAATTGCTCGTGGATTACAGCGGAATTGCGGTACCTTGCAGCGAGGAGGAGACCTCGCGGCGCGCGGCGAGGCCGTCGTCGTCGTCGAAGCCGGCGCCGCCGCTGGATCTGGAGCCAGAGTCCATGAACCCGCCGCCGCCGCGCCGCTTCCGCTCCGCCGGGTGCTTCCTGGACGCGGTGGCCGCCTGCCCGGCGCCGGCGTAGGGGAGCGTCCACTGGTGGTGGTGCCCTGCAAGGTGGACGACAGAGACAGGGACTCCTTTAGCTCGGTCCCGGCCCTTTACCCAACAGCGACACGGAACGAAGCAGAAAAAAGTGGCCCACACGCCAGTGGGCACGCCAAGAATTCGTGGGGACGACGTGCGTGTGCCCGTAGCGCAAGGATAGCTATGGGCCGGTAGCCGGCTGTTCACGTGGGACGGGTGAGCAGGACAAACAGGCTCATCAGTTGCACGGGCCGTAGGGCCCCTTCCCGACCCATTATGCCGGCCCACAAGGAGGGCCAGCATGTCCCTCGCCCACTCTATAGTTCTAAAAAAAAAAGAGTAGAGTACTGCACGTAGCAAAAGTGCGACTGCGAAGGGGAGAGTGTCACGGACACATGCCAGCGGCTACAGCGCGGGCGGTGGGTAGGTTAGGTACTGAGCCCTGCGCACTGACGTGGTGAGAGGGAGAAGACGACGTGATCCACGTGCGTGCGTGCGTGCCTGCGTGCGCCCGGCACGTCGACGTCGATCGACGACCGGAAAGCAAAGGCCCGGCCCCGGAGCGCGTAGCAGCATCTACGACCGCTGGCTTCCACCACGGCTCACGGGCGACGGCGGCCGGAGAGGGGACTGATCGTGGGTACCTTGTGCTCTCGGTGGTTGTGATGCCGTGGGCTGGCCCCAGAGCACGAACGCCGGCGGCTCGGGCTTCACCACCACCGCGGCGGTGGCGGCCGGCAGTGGTCCGGCGGCTCCGGGCGCCTGCTGGCTGACGCTGAACGTGCCGATGCCGCCCGGCAGCGCGTGCTTCGTCGTCTGCGGCTGCCTCTCCGCGCCGGACGGTGCCGACGCCGCCGGCTTCTCCAGCGGCTGCAGGAAGTCGTGCGTCTTCAGAAAGAAACCTGCAGCAATTCTTTGCTTCTCAGTATATATTCCGTATAACAATCAGCAGTAACATTGCCGGTCAAAGCGTGGAGGAAGCAGAGCTTAGAGCTTGCATTGCCGGTCTCTACATGGGTATTTCTCTTCATAATCCTATAATTTTAGAGACTGACTGCGCTTTTGTGGTAGCGTCTCTTACATCGGGGGACTATGACAGGTCTGCTATGCGTGACCTGAAGAGCATCGAGTATCTCGAAGTTAATCAACAATCTTCAATTGTCAAAGATTAGCCGTACGGCCAATATGGTGACTCATTTAATCGCTAAGTATAGCTTTGATAATAGATTAGATGGTATTCTTGTTAATGATGTACCGCCCTGTGTGGTGAATATTGTATCGAATGAGTGTACTGGTGTGGTTGGATAATTAATATAAGTTGGTGTTAAAAAAAAAATCAGCAGTAACATAAGTAAACTTGTCATTAACAAACCAAAAATAACAATTGTACTAGTAAGAAGAATGAACTAACACAAGTTTTTTCTTTCTAAAAGAACTAACACGAGGGTTGCGCTGGGCTAATCATGATTAGGCTCGTGGCCTCGTGGGGCATAATCAAGGTGGGGCCCGGCCAGATAGGACGGATGGAGGCAGGTCGGGGAAGCGAGCGAGGCGTCGACGGCCGCCGCTTGCGTCCAACCCACACGTGATCCGCTCGCCGTTGCTTCTGGTTGTCGCTTCACATCGCCAACTTGACACGAGATTTTGAACCCCAATCATCGTCACCGGTCGCACGCTACAGTGACGACCAAGCATGTTCGTGCGCTGGCTAATTGTTTACGCCTACTGCTGGTCTTCCTTCCAAGGTTGATCTCCAAGCAGTTGCCCCAAGAAGAAGAAGAAGAAAATTTATTCACAGCAGGGAAGAACTAGTCGGTTAATTACATTCTTCACGAACGAAACCTGAGCGTAATTTGGACCTGGCTGCCCAGAGATCATGATCTGACCTACCTAGCTGCCAATTCGATCGAAGTTGGCTGATACTGCTAGGAACTAATCCGTCGTCTGAGAGAGAGAGAGGGGGGGAGGGGGAGGTTGCGATCAGAGGCTGGGAGAGGGAAGGAGACGCGGAATTGGAGTGCGGATCGACGAACCTTGGGAGGCGGCGGGAGGCTTGGAGTCGTGGAGCTGGAGAGACGAGTCCTTGGCGGCGGCCGCGGCCGCGGCGGCGGGGGCGTAGAGCGAGAGGAAGTCGTGCGTCGCCTTGTTCCCTGCACACACACGCACGCTCTTTCCCAATTAGGCAACGCCGCGGCGTGAAGCCATGGATCCCCGGCGAGGAAGACAAAATTAATGCGGCCATCCATGCTAGACGGCGCCGGCCGTAAGCCTTGGTACGTACCTTGGATGCCCATAATTCTAGCGCATCAGTCGGTCAGTCGCATCGCCTCGCCGCCGGACGCGCAATTCTCCTCGGCTGGGAACGATCGCCGGAACAATTGACCTTCCCCGAGCACGCGCGCGCAAGAGCTTGCAAGGAGTGGAGAACTCTCTCTCTCTCTCTCTCTCTCTCTCTCTCTCTCCCCCCTCTGAACTCTCCCTCTTCTCTCTCTGCACACGCTGCTACGGCTTCTCCTCCTCTACCAGCGGCTAGCTAGGCAGGCGGCTGCCCGTGTGAGCTGTGGAAGACTTTATACGGCACGCGCGCGCGCGCGGCCCCCCGCACCTGGTCGTTGCCACCGCCGCGAGAGAGACGCCGTTACGTGACGGAGTAGTAGGCTGCAGGCGCCCGCCGCGCAGCGCACGTGCCGTGGTCACCCCCGCCGTGCCGTACCGCGGCGCCGGAGGGAGATTGGCGCGTGGGGCGATCCCGAGGTGGGGGAGGGAGGTAGTGGTGGTGGGTCGGGGCGGGGCGGGTCGTGCGAGTGCGGCCGGCGGGGGACGGAATAGGAATAGGAATAGGATAGGTCGACGTGGAGTGGGGAGGGGGTCACGTGCCAGTTGTTGGCCGGGCCCGCGGCGGCACATGGAGCCGGAAATTGCGGGCATCCCGTGGATGGCGACCCGCGCGGGGTCATGTGCTCCAGATTCGGCCTCGCCACCCCCTCTCTCCCCACCGTCCCCCGCGCACCTCCGTCCTCCCCCTCTCTCCGATCGAATTCACGCGCCAGTGTCAGTACAAAATTATTGGGTTGCTTCGTCCCGCCCAGCAAATCAGCAACAAAGAGAGCAAAACTTACTAGTAGTACTATGCTGAACATGCGTGCTCGCTTCTGAGCCTGTCAGTCCCGAGGAGTGCATTCTAAACGGTCTTTAAAAACGGTGGTGGTGGTACGAACTAAACTTCCTCCGATGTTGTTGTCTCACCGCCGTTCCGATCCGGACAGACAAACTAAAACCTCCTGCCGCGTGCGTGCGTGAGTGCGCGTCTGTCAACTCTCGCTTTTCGCGGGCTGCTGGTTTAGGCGGCACGATCGCCATCACGCCTGGGCCGCGTGGTTCACTTACCGCTTTCGGCTCTCTCCGTTTATTATTACCGCGTGCCCGCCCACTTTGCCCGCCCGCCCGCCTTTGGCTTTGTGTCCCATCGTCGGCGGTAAAAAAAAGGAAGCACTGCCCGGATCCATCACCGCCGCAGTAAATCTAGCAGGATAGATAGATAGATAGATCCCCGCAAAAAAAAAAGATAGATAGATAGAAAAGCATCATTGCGTGTTCAGTTCGGTTGCCCCACCGCCAAGCTCCGCCCGTCCAGCACGCGCACAATCGCTTCACGTGGCTCGTACGACTATCTATCTGATCCGATCGGCGCGCCATCGGCCCTCGCATCACTTTTTACCCCCACCCGCCCTATCGCCGGGGGAGCAGGAAAAACAAAGACCTCGGTAGATCGGCCTCACGTGGCCGCACAGTCGATCCGCGGAGCTTTCGCCGTCGCCTGTACTACCTTGCGCCCGCACGGAAACCTTCGCGAATCCGTCGCAAGCGACCGGCCAAGATACCCGTCCCCGGCTCACGCATGGCGCGGCGAGGAGACGATGGATGTGTCGATGATGGCGATGCGTGCGGCACGCGCGTCGTCGTTGCTCATGGCGGGCGGATGGATGGGCATCGGTGGCGCGCGCGTGGGGTGCGGGTGTCGGGTGCCGCGCCCCCGTCGGATGGGACGCGCGGGCCGGCCCTTTCCCCTTGCCCGATTTGGCGTGCGCGGCATGCGACGGGGGGCCGGATCGCGCTCCGCCCGTCGCTCACGGGTACGTGTGCGCGCAGCGGCGTCCATCCGGGCGCGCGCGCGTGCGCCTGGGCCGGGAAAGCGGATCTGCGTGGGGGTCAGGGTCAGGGGCAGGGTCGGGTCGGGTCAGGTCAGTCGGGCCGGCCAGGGGCCATGCCCCGTGCCCGCCACATGGCCACGTACGCCGCTCCAATCTGCTTTCCCAGATTTGCCTCCTGCAGCCCCAATCAATTCGATCGCTACTGGTCGTGCACTCGTGCTGCTCTCAGTACTGTAAATCAGCCCGGTCTTGAGGCAACCTACCGTGCACAGTAAACAACTTTGGCACTGTAGCTGCCCTTTGTTCGAACCCCGAAGTTGGACGCGTTTCGGATGCCATTTGTATCTCCCTGGCCTGGCGCGTCCCGCCCACTGTGCGTCGCACGCGCGTGCGGGGGGCGGACGGGCGCGTGGTCACGTACGACTGACCGGGGGAGTAAGAGCATCTCCA